AATAGCTAAAATAAGTAAAAATGAGAAAGGATTGGTAGCTATGTAGTTTGAATTTTCTGTTTCTCTTTGAAAATCGGTGAATTTTCTGAAAAAGCGGAATACTTATAAAAAAAAATGAAATTTTTAGAAAATCTGAATTTTTGATAAAAAAGCTGAAATTTAAGAGATAAAAGTGAAAATAGTGGAAATCCGCTAAAAAGCGGAAAAATCTCATCCCTGGAATAATTATGTATAAGTTTACTTTTATCTCTAATCACATTTATTATTCTACCAGAAAATATATTTACAAATGAAAGGTAATTATTTAAATTTGCTATCTGAAACTCGCCTGTCGTATCATAGTGAAAATAAAGGCTTTTCAAAATCACTTTGAAAAGCGAAGAAATGCCTTGAAAAAAATTATTTAAATTTACGACAAAATCGGAGCTAAGAAACCGCGTTAATGATTTAAATGCGCGATTCAACATCGAGATTCATAATATTATCACATTAAAAATATCAAGATTTGCAGAACTTATTGTCTGCCGAAAAATAACTTAGAATTTGCAATGAAAGTAGTACATATAAAGAACATCAAAAAATGATTCATTAAAAGCACTATTTCTGAAACACGAGTTATAATAACGTGTAAAACGTATCGGGATATTAAAAACCGCATGGAGATTTGTAGTTAAAACTGCCGAAAAAACTATCGAAAAGTTACAGGGATAGTAAAAATAAAGCGAATCAAAAAATGACAACTGAAATTTGCCTATCGTAATATCGTATTAAAAATATAAAAAATTTTTTTAAAATCATCCGGAATTCTGTTGCAATAACAGCTGAAAAAACGATCGGGAAAAAAACAAAAACAGATTTATAATAGAATATGTGCTCGTCAATAAGTGATGACTCAAATGTGTGATTTAAGACTAACGATATAATTTTATTTTTCCAAAATAAAGGAAAATAAAAATACTTTTTTTCCCCTCATATCCAGACACTGTCGCAGGTTATGCACCCTTAATGCTCTATATTTTGAAAAGTGTACCATATAATAAGAAAAATTGAGAGAAAAAAAATTATTTACACACTAATAATGTGCTAAAAAGAAAATAATTAAGAAGAAATATTATATTGAACATGGAATATGGTAATAACTTGGCATCTGTTCCTTCTCAAATGTATTGGCGATGAAGCCAAGGAAAAGCATAAGAACAAATATTCTAATAGAGTATATTTTATTTGGTTCTTCACGTCTTTGGTCAAATGTTACATAAGTGGCAAGTTAAAAGTAGAATTTTACTTGTATTACATTCATTCAAAGAAAGAAAATTGAAATAAAACACATAAACCGCAAAATGAAACAAAAGCTCTTCTAGGATCCATAACTAAATGCCTGAAAACATGGTTAACTTAAAAGGTTCCTATATATATCACAGTTTATTTCTTCTTATCACAACTATGTTTAATTCTAAGAACAAATAAATAAATAAATAAACAAAAAGCACAAAATAGAAACTACAGGGGGGAATGCTTAAGGCAAGGATTGTTGCCATTAGAAGGGAAAATTCACAAATTGAAATTTGCCAAATTTAAAGATATTCATTTATGTGTGCTTGAAATGTAATCTCTTCAAAGAGTAGGATTGACACCATTCAGTGATGTCGCTTTACTACCTGATCAGAATTTTTGTCTAAAACAACAATTTGGAACAGGGCACATTTCAAAAATATAAAAGCAGAATAGAGAAAGAACACTATAAAGTATATACAGATATCACTTAAAAATAACTTATCACCAAAGAAAATTCATTTTAAATATAAAATGTAAAAAAAAAAAAAAACTTTATAAAATAAAACAAATCAGATCAAAATAAGCTTTAAATTGGAATGATAAAAGAGCCTTTCATCAGATTTAAATATAAACTTCTTACAAAAGGACCTGCATTGAAAGTAATTTAAATTTTTTTTTTGTTGATACCTTCCAAATTCTATGCCAGGATAAAAATTCTTAAATTTAGTAAATTTATACAATCTACTCAATTAGTAATGTCTTACAAAATTGTTCAAGAAATCTTTTTAGAAGTTAGCCAAAAATAAAATGACATTTAACAAAGCCTGCTGAGCCTTCCTTTAAAAAAATTTTTTAGTTTAGAAATAAGAGGGGGGAAAAAGAAATTATATTATGGTTCCGTGAAAACGGAATTTCATTTGGTAATTTAAAGATTTTTTCTACTCACAAATATAAAGGCAAGTAGTGTCCCATTAACAATAGTTGATATTTTTATATTTACCAAAATGGATTAAATTATCTTAAAATGTACATTTTCTGACTAGTATTCAGATGCAGGTCCCTCTGATTACAATAAAATTAAAAATATAATAAATAAATGATTTTTTGAAAAGCATAACATGAAAGTGAATCGTTTTGATTATAAATCTACAGCTACGTGAAGGTAATTCATGAAATACAGATTTAGTAGATATATAGAATTTGGAGCAATGAGAACTGCTGAAAACGTTCGAAAAAAGAGGGATTCGTCACAGCTTTGGCGCTACTAAAGTTTTTTCCTTTATTCCAAAAAAGAAAATCAATTGAAGCTGTGTCAATTAGAAATGCAAAGTCAAAACGATTCACTTCCAGCAGAAATTCAGAAACAACATGATGACCAAAAAAGAAAAAACATTCATCAGAATGAACTTTAAAGCTGTTAAAATTAAAATGAATTTTTAAATAAATAGAACATTTGATATGAAGGCAAAATGTTATTTTATATGAGATGGTGACATTTTACAACAGCTTTTGTAGAGTGATATTCAGTTTTCGAATGCAACTGCCTTGTTTTTAGGATTCCTGTTTAAATAAATTTTGAAATATTGATATGTTGCACCATTTTGTTATAATTTTTTTTTAAATTTGTGATATTTTTTAACAATAATGAAATTTAAATGTTTAAGCAATTACTTTTTTAGTTGTTAACTTATTCATCATAATTAAGTTATGTTAAGCTACAATTCATTCTGATGGATTATTAAACAAAATAAACTCCATAAATGCAATGTTCCATGAAATGAATGAGACCCATGCATGGATATTTTTGCATTAGCACTTCTCAACGATGGAGAAGACAGAAAAGATTGAGCTAAATATTTCCAGCATGGATCCTAAGTACAATAAAATACAAAAGTGAGAAATACCTGGCAGACTAATTTTTCGCCACAGCTGTTTGAATCACCACTTGCGAAGAATAATTATTCATAATATTTAGATTTTGCTTAGGAAAACATTTAATATATTTTAATTCCATAAAAATGATTCCTTTTGAAATATAAAATTTCATCCATCCTAAACCCTTTTAAAAAATGTTCTATATAATTATTTCCATTTCCTTATAGAGATAAAGAAAAAGCAACTACACTATGCGAAATTAAACATTTCTACAAAAATAGACTCACTAAAACATAAATTTAGACTTTTTAAGTATTATGTTTTAGAATGTAAATCTGAAGGAATATTGATTCAGAGAATAAGTTCATCTAAAATTTTTGTGAAGAAAAATAAAAACATATCCTAAGTACGACTAAATGTTATTTTCTTCCACATAACAGTGGAATTATAAGCACGCTTTCCTTTCTTTGGAACAAGAAAATCTACACACTACTAATCATTCCAATTCTAAAAGTGCACCCCCTTTAGTCAGCCATCCTGAAAATATTTTTTTTTTCATTTGACTCAATCAACTTTCTCAGAAACTTACTAATGGAAGATTACAGTCACGCAACTCATCTATATTATTTACAGTCGCCTCCGACAGCGTATAAGCATCCTGTTAAATATTTTGAATACAGTGTTTCCTCAACTCACACATTGCATATAAACAAGGAAGATATTCATTTTGTATTCCAATTTTTTTCTTCTTTTTAAGCTCGGAATTCCCCCTCTCCCCAACATCCCATTGTGGGAGGAGATAGCAAGAAAGGAGAAAATAAGTCTCAATATAGTTAGTTTTAGTTATTTTCTGAAACTAACAAGTGCATTCTTACATTTTTATTTCAGTGCTTAAAAGTATGAGAGAGAATAAAATGCATGCAAACCAAATATTGTGGATCATAGAAAGATTGTCCTTGATTGATTGATTTACTGTTATAGAGCACTCAATAAGGAAAGACTAAAACAAATTACGTAAATTTAAAATAAGTAAATTTTAAAATATGCTCTATGCCTTTTTCACTTGCATTCAAAAATATAAATAAAAATTTTAAGAAACTTAAATATGTTATTACAAATTATGATCCTTGCTGCAATCACCAAATCCTGACTAAATATTTCATTTGGCGACAAGAGAAGGAATCCTACTTGCGGAATTGAAAAGGCTGAATCACAAACAATTTACTAATTAATAAGTTCTGTTACAAATAAATAATTTTGAATTATTTCATCAAAAATTTTAACAGCAGCATAACACTTGTGTCAGTAATAAGACAGAAACAGCTTATTTATGAAACAATAATATTCATTTATAAAACATGGAAGAAAAATGTAATACTCTTAATCAGGTCTAAGTATAATAAAAAAGGAATAGAAGCTATAAACTTGCTGATATAAGCTAGATTCCTCACCCATTTAAAATGAACAATGGGAATAGGAAAGGGGGAATTCAATTAACTGTTATTTCTCCTCAAGAATAAACCTAAAATTATGAATTTAAAGCTTTCAGTCTCATAAATATATTTAATACCTACATCTGAAAAAAGAACATTTAAATAATAATAAATATGGAATGTTGATTTATAAAAAATTAAATACTCATGATTCTTTGATCATTAAAAGTGTTTTTACAGAATGATAAAAGACTGAAAGTACAATTCATTTTTTTTTTTACACATACATAAGAAAAGAAAGACACTTTAATAAATCTTAGTCAGCAGATTGTCCACTCACATTGAAAATGGTTCTAACAAAATCCTTTTCTCTGTGAAAATTCAATAAAATTTTAAATAATTTAAAACCAACTTTTAAATGCCCAATAAGTTATGTGGCCTTCCAATATTTGTACACAATAACAGAAAAAAAAAGTCAATAAAACAAAATGAACAAAACTGTTCTCTTTGCAAATCACAGTAAACATTGCAATAAAAATATTTTTGTTCATTATAAGTACAACCTAATTAAGCTTAAATGCCGCTTTCTATAAATATATATCACATAAAAAATCATAAATTGATGATTCAGATCTTTCTATAGCACTATGTGTAAATCAAATTATATTTGTTAAAACATACTAAATATATACCCATAGTGAATAAATATGATGCAACAGAATATAAACCGGTCTAATAGTATAGATTAAAGGCGTGCCAGAACTTATTTCATTTAACTACCACTTTCAAAACAAAGAGGGATGAGAACAGTGTGTTCAGGCGAGATTTCTGTACATGGCGTCTATCTGGTGCTTGAACAGCTTACGACATTCGAGGCGTTTGGTTTTGAGGGTGGGGGTCAGGAGACCATCTTCAATTGTAAAAACTCTTGGATGGAGATAAATATCTTTCACCTGAAAACAAACATATAAAAATTTCAAAGGCTTTCAAAGGGCGAAATTTCAAAAATTCTTTTTATGGATCATTATTGACAAACAACCAAATAATAGTATCAATGCATTGAGATACATCAGCCTCTTTTTTTATTAAAAAAAATTATAACTTCTTGAAACTGGCAAAAACTAATAAGATCCCTCCCTTTTTTTTACATAAAAAATGAAGAAGTGCAAATTGGAACCAATATACAATAATTTTTATAAAAAATAAAAAAAAGGCACCCCTAAATTAAGTGATGATTTGAAATCTTCATTATAGAAAAATGGAAGAGAAGCAAAATTTGCTACTAAAAAGTGTATTTACTCTCATCACTTTAAAATAATCCCATCAAACAGTTCCAGATGACATATGGCTAACCTGAAAAACACTGTTTTCTATTGCATTTCAGATCATTCAGTAAGCAAGCAAACAATGCCTCCTTTTAAATCCTCATTTTAGAAATACAGTAATTTAAAAAACTATTTTCATATATTTGGAATTTATCACGTTCTACCAACACCTCCTAGAAGTAGGAAGGCCTCAGCACGGATCAATTTAGTAGTCCGATGTGACAAAGTTAACTGCACAGTAGATGAAAAATAAGAAAGATGTCATTACGCTCGGTGTACTAAGCTGCGCAGTGGTTGATAAATACGAAATATGTCATACGTTTGGACTACTCAAGGATATTTATGGTAGCCCGTGCTGAGGCCTGCTCTTTTCTTGGAGGTGTTGGTTCTACCCCGGGAAGCTGTATATATTGCTACACTTATTACACATTGTTTTTACTAAAAAACCTACCATTCCTCTCTTTTCTTTTTTACAATTAAATTAGGTATTTAAAAAAAATAGGGTTGTTATTTAATTTAAAAAATAATAAATTTTATGAATAATACTATGTTTTCAAATAACGTTATGTATATTTTAAGACTAACTAAATGTACATTTCAAGACTTTATAATCATGTTTACAAATAAAAATACAGTAAATGTTTGAAAGTAATGTCTCTCTATATTAAAAAATTGTAATGGCAGCCAACACTGTTTTGGATGTTCAACTTCACTTTACAATTTGTTTTGCTGTGTTACTCTCCGGGGGAACAGAATTTTCATCTGCATTGATTTGTCAAAACTCAGTAATCCTCAAAATACAATCAAATCGTAATTTTTGCAAAGAATAGACATAAACTGTTCTTCCCCTTTGACCTTCATTGATAAACAAGAGCAACCACATGTAATGGCAACTGAGCGGAAAGTTAGTTTTGTTTTCATTCGTAGCTGTGCGTTGGATAGTTTGTACTTTTAAGTATGTCAAAAAAACTTATTGCTATCAAGATTTAAAAGATATTCAAAAAACTAGTAGAATACAAAAAAAGGTAATGATTTTGTGTTTTGTATTCCATGCAGATCAGATTTTCATATTGCAGATGGTGAATGAAGTGATATTGTTGCTTATGTTGGTACAACAATGAAACAAATTTTGATCCTCTGAAAATAATACAAATCTCAATCTCTCTGCGAAAAATAATGATCATATAGCTGTTATTAAGACTAAATGTTTATTTAAAGCATACATAATCAAATATAATTTGCCAATCCAGTTACTGCAGAAAATGTTTCTGGACTCTAAATTCGCCTAAAGTTACAAAAACATTGGTGCTTGTCCATAGAATTTCATCAAAGAAAGAAGACATGACAGATTAAGTAACTCTATTTCTATTTCTGTGGATGGTAATACCGACAGTAACTCTAAATTATAACCTAACGTTATAATTTTTATTATTCTCATAAAGTTAATTCAATTGAGACGAAAGTCTAGTAAACCTTACTGTCGCTGCCAGTTTTCATAGATTCTACTGGTGTGAATATCGGGAATGAAATTTTAACTAACTTAAAATCGCCTGAAATACCAATTGATAATAATTGCATTACCTAAAACACTGGTCTGATATCTGTATTGCAGAAAGCAAACAAAAATATAGCAATATTAGTTTGTTGAATCATTTTTTTAACACTAAAAAAGCTATTTTTTAAAATAAAAAAATTTTGAATAGTAGACTTGCTGATTCATAAAATATGATAAAAGTATACAAGATGAGTATTTCCGTATCTTTTTTTTTTTTTAATAGAAGAAAAACATCTAAATATTTTTTTAACATTAAAAAAAGCTATTTTTTAAAATAAAAAAATTGCGAAACATAAAAATTTCTGATTTATAAAATACAAGATGACTATTTCCGAATCTTCTTGTAGTAAAAAGAAACACATCTAAAAATTTTACTTACAGAGATGGAAATGAAGAAGAGAAAGAGCAGATAAAATAAAAGAATATATTTGAAAAAAAATAAGACTATTTCATGTACAGAGAATTTATGAACTACATTTCTTGTTTTAATGCTGATTCATGGGAGAAAAATTCCTTTTAATGGCACATAATAAAATTACAGCCACTTTTTTAAACTGTTAACAAAAGCATTAATGAATCACAAATAGATCAAAAAGAAAGAAAATCAAAAAGTTGAAAATTTTTCTAATCATCTCTGAATAATACAATGTCATTAGTAATTTAAAGTTTTACAAACTAAATTAAACTCAGTAGCACAACAGCCCATAGAGGGCCAAGGCCTACTGAGCCCATCTCGGTTTTCTTGACCTTATTATAGAAATGCATGTCAGTAAAACTATTAATATAATATCAAAAATTTACTGAGCAAAATTGAGCATAGGAACTTCATGGACCAAATTCATAACTAAAATAAATGAGAGAATGACAAGCAACATTAAGAGACAGCGAAATTGCCCATCTCTACTTTTATAATTAAATAGAGTTTTATTGGAATACACTTTAAAAGTGTATGATAAGAAGTTTTCAGCAGTATACTTATTTTTCAACATTCAACAAAATATAACAAAAAATTTAAAGAAAAAAAAATTGGAAATAGCAAAATGATTTTTTAAAAAATGTCGCAAGAATCTCACCTGTTCAAAGGACTTGAGACCATATTCTTTTCCTAATTGTGTCATATCTTTTAAAAGAAATTCTTTCACTACCTGCAATAAAAGCAAATTAAAATAACTACAATCTTTTAAAAAAAAAAAAAAGGATTTTTATTTTTACTATCTATAATATCAAATTGTAAACGACTTCTGACATATCATATTTTTCAGACACATCAACGATACAATTTCTGTCAGTTAATAACTTACTTTTTTAAAGTTTTAAGTAAATAGCCTGGTGTATATTTTAATATTATTTATGGTGGCATCAATATTTAAGAAACTATGTGATTATATAAATACATCAGTGAATCCTATTTTGTTGCTTTCATTGTTTATTTGTTACCACTGCTCATGTATTTGATTTTATGAGTTAGTTTAATGTAAATTCACTATATTTTATTTCCATTATGTTCATCTCAATATTTGAAAAATTCTACATGTCAAATTTTTTTTGTCTACATCCTCTTATCTTTCTGGTCTATTCTTTTTAATACTGCAGTAAAGTATGTCACATAGTTCATATGAGTCATTACTTACATAAAATTTAAAGAAGCAAAACAAGAGAAATAAAATAGAACATTACCTGATTTTGACAAATCTTGCTCCATTCACCTACAATATCTTTCTCTTTACACCATTGAGTCAAAATCTCCATTTCAGGCACCACAACACCCACAACACAAGACTGAAACCAAAGCAATACTGAATTAGCAATAAATTAGTTATTTAAAGTTTGATTCATAATAATATAGTATTTACAGGGTATCTGCTACATTTTAGATTTTCAAATTCATGGCTTAATGAAGTTACTATTTTCTCTGACAAAAACAGAATACAGAGTAACATCCAATATCCAGACGTCCCTTTTCCGGAAGGGTCGATTTCTCGCACACTTTTTAATAATCAAAATTAACAGACATCTCTTCATCTCCCCCTCTCTTAAAAAAAAGAGGTCTTTGGACACATTTTTTCCTTTTCTAGCTTCTAGTGATTCATGCATTGAGCCCATAAATCAACAGAGAGGAGAAGAGAAGACCTCCCAAGACCGTCGAGTGACACTCCTCCTCAGGAATGCAGGAAAAGAGGGAGATTTGTTATAACCAAAACTGTTATACTCTGCATCTTTATATTTATTGATTTTAAATTTAGAAAACAGAGTAAAGAAAGAGTTGAAGTAATAAAATAGCTGGAAAAAAAATAGCAGAGCAAATATTTTCTTTTCTGCAGAATTATATTCTAAAGATACTTTTCCTGTTCCAGAAAGGAAAGAAATACTCCTGATTTTTCTGTCCTCATTTCCGAATAAAAAAAATTTGCCAATGACTGGCTTGCTTCAGCTAGAATTTTAAATTGACAAAATGAAAAAAAAATAAAAATAATTCTGAAATCACAGAAGTTTAAAAGATACTTTGCTCTAGAAATGATGTTTTTTCTTTCATTTTTTGAAAGAACACCATAATTTTTAAAGAACATGATAAAAACTTTTTATATTTTAATAAAATATGACTCTGAGTGGAGATTTTGTTACAAATTCAGATATTTGGTACACCTTGAAATTGGGGGATGGGTANTGATGGGGGGGGGGGATTCCATTTTAAAAATAAAATTTTTCGGGGACCTAAATCCATGACTTTCCATGATTTTTTTCATTAAAAAAAGTTAAAATCATGACATTTCATGACAAATTTTGTTCAATACCGAAATTCATGACTTTCCAGGTGCACGGATACCCTGTATTTAAAATATTAAGATTTTCAAAACTATGTGAAAATATGATGTAGTAACTGCAAAAAAAAAAAAAAAAAAAAAAAAAAAAAAAAAAAAAAAAAAAAAAAAACATCAAAATGATAAAAATGAGGTGCACAATTCATAACTAATGAGTCAAAATATCATTTAAATAAATCGGGATTCTAAAAATTTCATAGAAATTTGTAAGTATAACTGCTCAGTAAACAATCGAAACGACACTTGGATTTATAGTGAAATCAATAAAATTAAAGAGCTAAAAAATTTGAATTTTCTGTATTGTAATATCGTATTAAAAATATTGAGTATTTTAAAACCAGGCAAAATTCCATAAACAACATAGATTTACAATAGAATCAATACAAATTGAGTGTTTCAAAAAGAGATGACTTAAAAGTGAGATTTAAATTTTGATATTCTTTCATGGTGTTTTAAGTTCATGTATGTTTACTAATTTCAGTGAAATGTTTTTGAAATGCCAAATTCTATTATGTAGTTAAGTACTGTATTATTTTTGTCTCCTATTCAAGTAGTGTACAGTTATCAAGAGGAAGGCATTGTTACAAATTTGTAAAAATGCATCTAGAATTGAGTTGAAAGGTTTCATCTTTCAAGCCTATAGAAAAAGAAATGTTTTTTTATAGAGCAGTCTGTTAGTGACTGTAATAATGTTCTGATCTGAAAATGTGTTCATTGAACCATGTGAGGTGTTTCATAGCCTGTGTTTTGCTGTAATTGAGTTCAAGAAATAACTTTATTTTCTTGAAGATTCCGCTAATAAATGTTTGGAGTCTTGAGGACTGTTTCCTTTGAAACTAAGTACAAATATACTCTGGCAGCAACTCTTTATTGTTCTTAATACTCAAAATCTGTTGAGACAACTGAATTTTCGTGTCACCTAAAGACATCCTCTTATTTTTACTGTATTTTTCTTCTTTTGTTATTCAACCATAATGCTGTTCATTGAAGAGAAATTCCTGCACCAGTTTTCATTCTTCAACAATTTTCTTATTTAGGAGAATGATTCCAATATAAATCACTGATTTTTAATTATTAGATAACACCCTGAGTAATTACAGAAAAAAAAGAGGAAGGGGTTATTACCTTTAAGCTGTCACCATGAACAAAAACTTGACAGACGTAGGACGAACGTAAATACACATTTTCAACTTTTTCAGGGGCAACGTACTCTCCCTGCTGTAATTTGAAGATATGTTTTTTTCTATCAACAATCGCTAAAGCTCCATTCTAAAAGAAACAGATACAGACATTAAACATTTTTATTTAAAGTGTTTTAATCATGCATTCCAAAATTTCTAACATAGATTTGGAACTAAAAAAGAAACATAAAACCTATTCAAACTGCGATAAACCAGAGATTTCACTGGTTTTTACGAAAATACATATTATATAGGATACCTCCAAGAACTTACATACTTTAGACATGCTGAGAAATTTAACTAAATATAATATCATTTGAAACTAAATATAGAAAAGGAAAAAATACAAACTTTTGAATCATAATAGTTCAAGCAATACAACTTATATATTAGGATACATAAATTTATGTTTTTCTTTTCTCCTGAAAGTGTGGTGTGGGAGAACTATCATATCAGTAACTTTTGTTTTAAAGGTCTGAATATTTTATGTTTCATTCGTTTTTAGATTAGTATTTCATTAAGTTTCATTCTTCCTTATAACATGCAAAACTGTTCTAACAATATTTCTACGTAACTTCAAAGGATGCTTTTTTCATGACGCAACTCATTCACAAGAATTTATTTTCAGCCACTTCACCTTGAAATAAAAGGTAGGAACAGTGGATAGGTATTACCTTTGTCCTAATAAATTTATCAGTGACGATAAATTTAAAACAAGACTATATTTTCAATTTAAAAGTATGCAAACAAAACATTGAAAATTAGGCGACTGGGAAAACAAATGGAATTTCAAAGAACAAAGAAAATGGTATATATGACGGGTCACTTACGGGGAGCCACATTCCAATATCACCAGTATGCAACCAGCCATCTTTGTCGACAGTACTTTCAGTTTTCTCAGTATCTTTAAGATATCCCTGGAATACTGTAAGTCCTTGGACACATACCTGTAAACACAAACGTAATATCTGGTATACATTGTATTACACATTTACATGCATTCAATACAACCATGCTTCACAAATACTTTAAAAACAGAAATTAAAAATGTTCATGAGTAATTGACATCTGATTACGTACGCAGAATGAGACTCTGTGCCACTGAGACAATTTATCTGAAATAAGACTTTTTAAATTTTTTTAGTTCTTACTCATAACACTAGATATTAAGTTTTACAAATTAACTAGATTAATATTTAAAAAAATCTAAATATATGATTGAACATTATTAAAAAAAAAGTTATTTGTAAAAAGAAATATACGTCGCTATCAATTTATTTGTTATGCAATAAATTTTTAACTTTTCTAAAAAATCTCTCCACAATCAGTTATTTTAGAAAAAGCAAAAGTTAGCAGCAATTATTCTGCCAGATTCGTATGTACAGAAAAGAATCGTTAAAACTAAACATTTTATTCAGTGACAATTTTTGTTCATTCTGAGTTCAATGGAAGTATTTATTGACAATTATATATATATACATGCATACACACATATATATGTCACGGTCAATGTTATTAATTGGTTATTACTAGTGCTGCAAGTTTGTCGCGAGAAAAAAAGACCCCAAATTTGCAGAAAAATCGCGGGAAATTATGAAAATTACACACATTCTAAGCATAAAGAAATTTATTATATAAATGATGCAAAAGACAGAAATTGCGCAAATAATAAAAAAAAAGCTTGAAAACACACAACAAAAGTATTTCTTTGAATTTCAAGCAATATTAATATTTTTATTTAAATGAACAGAATTTTGGTACAAAGTATCGTACATTGTCAGATTATTCTCATTTATCTATCATCTTTCATCACTTAATACATTTTTATACTTAGGAAACGATCTCTCTGCGTCAACGCTGTTTTTAGGCCCCGACAAACTTCCAATTGCCACTTTTGCCAATTTTGGAGTGTTCGGTGTTTGATTTCCAAAACTCGATCAATTTTCCTTCACCAACGCGCAATTCTTTGACCATTGCTTTGTAAGAAGTAATTGCTGTGAAAACTCAAACATTCTACATTCAAACTACTAGTTACAAGTCCCTACTAACTACTAGTCCCCCCCTTCATCTAAGAAACTGATCCATATTTAAGAAATCACAAGAAGCCGCCTAGGAAAAATTAACTGGATATGTTGAAAGGCAGTAGAAATTTCATTGCCCAGTGCAATAGCATGTATAACAATTTTTCTATCAAAGATTTGATTTATAACATTTTCCTTCTTTTGTGATTCCAATTTCTTTTGTACTCTTACAGACTTCAGGAAGGTAATTACCATCCCTAAGTGTAGAAAGACCACCTTAGTTGACAAGATTGTGATTATCTCTTATCTCTGAACTATTTTCATGCCATTTTGCTATTGATTCCCTCCCCTAAATACCTAATAAATTTTACATGTTCAATTTAAGGTTCAGGAAAATAAAAAATTCTGTTCAATAAAAATAATAAATAAAAAATGAAAAAAAAATATTAAATTTTAAGGCATTTTTGCGCAAGTCAAGACATATTAGAAATTTGCGAATTTTAGGAAAAAAGATGACAATTTCGCGGAAATTCGCGACGCGACAAACCTGCAGCCCTAGTTATTACTGATAACTTAATAACCAAGGAAGTCGACAAAAGTGATTATTACACAAATTTATCACATTCACCAATTATTATTAATAATAACCAATGAGTTTAATAAATGTAATTATTTTGCACTTATTTTATGTGTTGACAACAGCATAACAAAATAAGCTGATTGTTTATTTAAGAACTTCGGCTCCCGATTCCTTCCTTGTCATTTTTATTGGCATTTATATTGTTTATCACAAAATAAGATAGTTATTTTAAAAAATTTTGCAACAACACAATGGATGACGATTTAGAAGTCATGAAATCACATTTTAACAGCTATTTAGACATGCTCAAAACAACAAAAAAAAAGGTAAAAATGAAAACTTTTATAAATTTCGTACAAAACATGGCACTTTAAAACAACCGTACACAAGGAATGATTTTACTTATTAGAAGGAAGCTTTTATTTCAACGAATGAAATTCCAGTGAATGAAATAAGTCTAAGAGAATGCTCTCGTAAGGATTCAAACTTAGGTGGTCAAGGATTTCAGTATTGCAATTTTATTCTTGTTTTATAACTGTCGTTGACAGCCAACACAATTTTGGGTTTACAACTACTAATGTTCAACTCTGTAGCATTGTAATTTTGATCCAATACAGAAGACTAGGAAACTCCTGGATCAGTACCCCCAGAGGTTTGATTTGTTATGGGAACATGGAGGACTTTGTGACTCCACAGATTTAAAGTGCATCAGTCAAGATTTACTACACGGGGAATCTTCGGCCGGTCTAGGATCAAACCCTTGAACTCTTGGACATGGGACCAGTGCTCTACCAACCAGGCTATATCAGTATTGCAATTATAGAAGCAAGTGCAACTAGAGTCATTGCAAATGTAAAAAGTCATAAATCACTTCGTAATTCCAAATGTCACAGTAGCTTTTCCTGCCAATGTAAATAATTTGTTTAAAAAAATTAATATTTCAATTCAAAGAAGTTATGTATTTTTATTTATTATTTATTTATTTATTTTGAAGAGTTATGTGATTAAAAATTAAAGTATACACCACACTTTTTTTTGTTAGATTAAGTGCCACTTCTCAGAATACATTTGCCCAATATATCGTGCACTTTTTTTTCTTTTTTTAAGTTAGTCATTGCCCAGCATACCTTACACTGATGTTTTTTCTGAAGTTAAGTGCCACTGCCTGGTATAGGCTGTTCCCAGTATAACTAAACCATAAGCTGTTTCAGCATACTCATCAGTGTCTTCAAATGCATTTTAAAATTTCCTCCTGTATTGTAATTCACATTGAATGCAATACAAGTTTGCGTTTTTATTTCTTACTCTGGCCAAAAGAAGAGGTAAATATTATTTTTGAAAATCTGTATTAATAACCGGATTTACCACTTTAATCGTACAGCATATACAAAGAGACACAGCCATGTCATAATAATATATAAACCATGTAATCACATTTACCAAACTTCATTGAATATTATTAATAATTACCGATCACTATTAATAAAAAGCAATAGAAGAGGTAAGTAATAATAGCCAGTGATTATTAATAAGGACCGTATTTATCATTTTTACCCTAACAAATTGATATAGACAGCAGGTCCCATAATTTTAAGAAAAGCGAAGAGCCCCAAAACATCCATAAAGGGGAGCGAGTAAGTGTGTTTTGTGAGGATTCCTCTTACACTGGGGGTTACCTTCTCTTTAGGGGTCAGTTGAACAGCAGTCACTGCGAACGAGAGGAGAGGCAATGATGGGCTACACCCGGTGAGTGCAAGGTTAAGTTCCCCCCCTCTCTATTTTGCTTTACTATTTGAGGATTATAATCAAAAATAGATAATCATTAAAGATGAATTTTTATTTTATAAATTGTAATCAATCTTTTGTTATTTGAATGTAGATTTACTTAATACGAGTTAGCCTTGTATTAATATATATAACCTTGTGCCATTTTTCTTTTTTTAATTAACTGAGTTACTTATAACTAAAAATTAACAATTAAAATATATTGATTCCAGTTTTACTTCTGGGGCTCCTAACTGTAGTCCGTTCATCAAGTGTTGGCACTTGGCTTCGCCTTCATCACATGGTATCCAATGATACTATTTTGCTATTTTTGGGAGAAAGATGTGAACAATCCTGAACAAGGTTGTTATTTGGCGATATGAGAAAAATATTTACTTCGTGATTTTTATGTGCATATTTTTAACATTAAATATTTCATAAATTTGATGATATTTCTCAATTTTAAGTGAAAAGTGTGTCCTTTTTGAGACATTTTGCATATATTTAATTAGCTAGAGTAACGAAAGGTATCATAGCAGATAATAAAGCGAAGTAAGTGACTGAAAAAGAATTTGCTGTTTTCGTTTGGCCCGCATTAAGGATTGTTTCAATTTCAAGCACGGAGATGTTTCTCTTCTTACTTCCTGCTCTGAAATGAACTCTTTGTCCAAGGAGGTGGAGCCAACTGCCAACTCCTGATGAACAAACTATATAAACTTTTAGAATTACACAAAGGACGTAAATAACTTGAATGACAGACTAAAGAACAACAAGGCGAGATAGCATTCCTACTTACAGCTAAAGTATTGCACAAAAATGCAAAAAAACGCAAAAAAAACGCAAAAAAAAAACGATTTGAATCTCAGAAGAAAAAAATAAATAAACATTATTTTTTGGGCAATAATGTTTTAGTATTAGAATTATATCTAATCAATAAAAAACAAAGTAGTAGAAAAAAATAATTACTGCTTAAAATAGAAAACAAAAAAAAAATTGACAGTTATGAAAATATTAATTGCTCGATCCTCCATTTTGAACCAGAACGATTCAAGCGAGAAGAGGAAATTCCCGTGGGTAGATTGAGGAGAAAAATTCATTTCCTCCTTATTTGTCATTCAAGTTGAGGGCGGGGAAGTGACAAACTCTTATTTTTTCTCTGATCATTGGCTATCAATCAAGCATAAAAGCGCGGCATGCTGATTGGGTTCGCTTTATTTTTTCTTGTGTGACTGAAAGTGACTCCCCCTCCAAGTTGAACTTTGCTGTGTTTACCCTTTTTCACAGTATTTCTTCCTTCCCTAACACTCTAATAAAAAGGTTCCAGAAAATGCCTCGTTTACTAGCCAGCTGCATAGGAGAGAAGGGGGGAGGAGACTCAGTTGTGCTCTTTTGAAAACAAATCTCCCTCCTTTCTTGCATTCCAGAGGAGGAGCGTCACTAAACGGTAGATCTTCTCTTTCTGGTGATTTATGGGTTCAATTCATAAATCACTAGAAGCTAGAAAAGGAAAAAATGTATCAAAAGACCTCTCTTTTTTTCTTCTTTTTTTTAAGAGAGGGGAAGATGAAGAGATGTTTGTTTATTTTGATTGTTAAAAAGTGTCCGGGAAGTGGACCCTTCCAGAAAAGGGACGTCCGGATATGGGACGTTACACTGAATTAATCCTCAAAAAAATATTGACTGTTGGAATTGAAAACTGTCCTTAATCTGAAGTGTTCTTTCTAGACCTTAAAAAAGAGAAGGACTCTAGAAGCTGAAAAGGGCACTATTTCCCCCTAAAATAGGGCACTTTTCACACAAAAAGGGCATAATTCCTAAACACTTGCATAACATTTAAGACACCCAAAATATACAAAGTTTTTAATTTTATCTTTAAAAAAATCTTATCTTTTTTAAAGATAAAATTTAAATTGAAAATAATTCCTCAGTTCTTCGCACATTCTATTTAAAATGAGTGTTATTCTCGAGTTTTGAAAATGCTGCGTGTCATAATAATAACTTATTAAACATATCGGGATTTTAAAAACTAGGTCAAAATGAATTAAAAAACGATAAGTATTTGTAATGACTGCCAAAAAAGGGATGGAAAATTAATGTGGACATATGATGGAATCCTCGCAAATCAATCGTGTGAAAAAGTGATCACTAAATTATGAAATTCGTCAGTCATGACATTGGTATTAATTCATCGGAATTGAAAAAAAGCCACGAGGAAATAATCAAGCAACTACGAACAGCTGCCGAAAAAAGGGACCATTAACTATGTGGATTTACAGTAGAATCGGTTTAAATTGAGAATGTTAAAAAGTGACTCTTAAATTGAATCCTTTAATTAATTCTCGCGTGTCGTACTAACATTATAAAAAAATTATCAGAATATAAAAAAAATAAGTGAAAATTGTCATAAACGACATCAATTATAATGGAATCGTTGCAAATTAAACGCCTTAAAAAGTAATAATTCAAATTTGAAATTTGAACGTTGAAATATAGGGGGGAAATATAAAAACCATATGTAAAAGCTGATGAAATTATAAATAACTGCCGAATTAACTATTAGGTTTTCCGTAAAGTTCGTGGAATACATTATCTAGTATTATAGACTCGACACCAACTTTCAGAACGACCCAGTATCATTCGACGAAAGGAAATTCTTATAGAATTGTCACGAATCAAACATCCTAATAGCATCATATTAAAAATATTGGAATTTGAAAAATCATGCGAAAGGGGCCGATAAATAACAGCTGAAAATCCTATCAAAAATGGTGAGGAATTGTGATAGAATCGAATGCATGAAATAGTGATAACTCAATTTCAAATATTGTATTAAACATATCGACATTTGAAAAACCGTGTAAAAGGGCTGAAAAATTTATTAATAACTTCCGGAAAAACCATCAGCAAACACCTTGAAATTACGATAATCATGAATCGAACATATCAAAAAGTGATATTGCAAATTCGAANTGTTTAAAAAATTATGTAAAGGACCCATTTTTTTTCAAAAGGACCCAGTTATTTAAAAGTCATGGGTCCCAGGGACCCGGGATTTTGAAAGCCTAGTGTCTTCCCTGACAGCATTGTATTAAATATATAGATTTTGAAAATTCATGTGAGAAAAGCCGAAAAAATGACAGCTTTCGAAAAAATTATCATCAGATGGCGTGAAATTCAGATGGAAATACCATGAATCAAGCTGACTAAATAGTGATAACTCAAATTCGAATTTCAAACATCATATCGTATTAAAAATATCGAATTTGATAAAGTGTGTGAAAAGGACTGATAAAATAATAAATTTCTCACAAAAAACCCATCATACAACAACGAGAAATTGTGATACAATCATCACTAATTCAGTGCATCAAATTCGAATATCGTGAAAACATATTAAACATTTAATCTTTAATGTTGTAACGTTTAATCTTAATTATTCTCTTTTCTTCCCCTAATAAAATCAATTGACTGCAATAAAATTGGAGATAATTTTTGCAGAATCTGTGTAAACTGATTTATGTTTTACTTTAAGGAAAGGCTTTAATCAATTTGCCAATCAATTTGCATTTGATTAGATCAAACATAAAATTTAATTTTCTAATAACGTTTTCTTTGTAATAAAGTTTAGCTTCAAACCGTGAATTGTTACTTAAATTACTCACTAAATAATTTCTTATTTTTTTGTTTCAACAACAAATAATTTGAAATATTTCAATTGAAAATAGTATTTTCAACAAACAAAACAATACTTATGGGAATAATAAGTAAGAAGGAATACCTCTCCTTTCCCTTCAGAAGCAAAGTATTTCATATCAGGCACATCGACTAATTTGATTTTACAGCATGGGATTGGAGGTCCTACATTGTCTGAAACACAAAACAATAAATTTTACACATGTTTTTTTCTTGTACTTCTTATTTATTTAGGCAATTAATGTTAATGTGATTGAAAAAAGTTTACTTACACATAATTTTGGTCACACATAAAAAATTTTAAAAAAATAATAACAATTTTAAAAAAAAACTTTTTTGACGAACTTTAATTTAAACAAGATGTTGTTCTATTAAATGAAATGTTGACAACATGCTTTTCTGATTTTTTTTTCATTATACATTAATCAGTTTGTTGTAAGAATAATATTTTTTTATTGTAATTTTTATATGCACTATGATTTTCTGTAGAAATTCAGCAAATTTTAAAACAGACAACATAGATAATCAAGCAGTTTTAAATTATCTATTCCTTAGCTCCTTTCATAATAAAAAGTTGATTAAAAATTATTAGTAATGCATTCTTCATTCCAAAAAAATAAATGTGAATCATAATTTACATAAAAATGTGTTGTATTGCCTATTATAGCAAACTTAAGCTTTTCTGTTTGTGAGACTGAAAAAGTAGTTTCAATTTTTTTTCTTCTGTTTCCCAGTTACAGTTTCACTATTCTTGAAAATAGGTTTGAAGTAATACACACACAGAATATTAAATTTTCTTTAAATTAGTATTAACAATCTTCTTTTTCAAATTAATCTGTACATCATTTCTTGCTCCTTCAACTAAGTTATACCAATCCCCCCCTACTTCTTTTATTTGACATTTTCAGTCAGTTATTTGAATTTCCCATGCTGGAACATTAAGTTACATTTAAATTAAGTTTCCACACATTCTATCCTTCAAACTAGTTAGAAAAATTCTAGTTTCAACCACTTTGACTGTTTTATTTGAAAGATTTAATTTAGCTTAGCTTCCCAATATTTATATTATTTAAAAGCTGTTTTCACTTGCTTTATTCAGGGTGAATAAAAAATTTACACCACACATGATCTTCAATCCAGATAATTTGTCAGATATATTAAAAAATTAATAAGGCCTATTTTCACTAATTTTTTTGAATACTCACGTGATTTCTCAATCTTTTTTCTTTTTTATTTGAGCTTTTCCTAGGAGATTATTTAAATTCTTATAATTTTAAAAAGGCATTATTATGAAGAGAGAATTCTGAATTTAATATAACTCTTTTTGACATGATAATTACTGACGATTCCTCATTTCAGATTCCTTTACCACTTAGATCGTTTTTCAGGGGTTATTTGTTTTTCTGGCCAATTCAACACATTTTGTTTCGTTAACCGAATAGTAAAATTTGAAAAATGTGCAAAAAGCCAAAGAAACTATAAAAACAATGCATGAACAATAAATAAGTAGATTAAGGGTGGTCACTGCAGAATACAGGGATGAGATTAGCCAAAACGCAAAAAAGCTGAATTTCCACGATACTAAATTTTACGCAAAAGCAACCCTTTAATAATAAATTACAGACAGTTTAAGGTAATAAATAATGTATTGACATACAATTGTGTACTAATCTATTATTATAAAAACGATTACATTGATACTTAACATTTAGTGAAGAAAAAAATTACTAATTGAAAAAATAAAGCTGGAAATTATATTTTTCCTCAGTTCACATAAGAGACAATTACTACTTGAAAAACTACCTGGTTTAGCAAATTAAAACTTCTGAGAATATAAATTAATATTTCATTTCTTTTAATAAATACTGTTATGTGATTTATAGCAAATATATCAGTAATATTACTTTTTAAATTATATTGAAAAAAAAACTTTAACAATGGACCAAATCATTCTGTTCATATTATAGTCTAATCTAAATACAGCCCTCTGAAACATATCAATAACAGTGAAGTAGAAATATATAGTAACTCCTTAACATACAAAAATNAGAATATAACGATAGATGAACAATTGTTTCCTAGTAAAACTCGATGCCCTTTTACTCAATTTATAGCATCAAAACCTGACAAATATGGGCAAAAATTCTGGCTTGCTGCAGACGTGGAAACTAAATATGTTCTAAATGCATTTCCTTACTTGGGAAAGAATGAAGAACGAGATAAAAATCAGAGACTATCTGAATATGTAGTTTTGAAACTTATTGAACCCTTCCAAAATGTGGGACGAAATGTGACTGTTGATAACTTTTTTACGTCTCTGGAATTAGCAAAGAAGCTAAAGGAAAAACGAACTAGTTTAGTTGGTACGATGAATAAAGCCAGACGCGAGATTCCAGATTGTATAAGAACTGGAAGAGAAGAGTTATATTCAACAAAAATATTAAAAAATGAAGAATCTGGATCAACACTTACTGCTTATCAGTGTAAGAAGAAAAAAAATGTGATTATACTGAGTTCCATGCATGCCAGCATTGATATTGCAAATAACTCAAAGAAAACTCCAGAAACCATAAAATTTTATAACGAAACAAAATTTGGCGTAGATATAGTAGATCAGATGTGCAGGCAATATTCAGTCAAAGCTGGGTCAAGGAGATGGCCTGTCCATACTTTTTATAATATTTTAGACTTCGCGGCAATAAATGCCTGGATTATTTTCAAATGTGTAACAGGGAAGAAATTATCGAGACGCAGTTTTATTCAAAATTTAGCTGAAGAATTAAGAGCAGATTGCAATAAAAAACCCATTGAAGGAAAGCGAAAGATTGAAAAAGAATGCGAAGGTGTAATTCCTCCCAAGCGTAAAAAGTGTGAAATAAAAAAATGCAATGGTAATGTTACGAACAAAATATGTTCCTCTTGTAATAGGATGGTATGTGGAAAATGCACAAAGAACATAATTTATCAGTGTATAGACTGCGATTAAGTAAGTAGTTTAGTTTTTCAAGATGTGTTATTTGTGGTATCAAGAAACAAAATTTATGTTTTATGTAACTGTCAAAACTATTTGTTGCCTTGTTATAAATAATCATGTTACTGTAATATTTTTTTTTAATCGAGAATAATAATCTAAAAGGTAAATATGTTGGCATTATTAATTTTCTATATAAATATTATTACCAAATGAAAAGAGCATTTTATTAAAAACAATATTTAGTTGAGTTTCCACTGGTGTCAAAATGACACCGTCCGGCATTCTAGGGGTAGAAGAATAGCCGGCGTTCTAGTGTTAAGTCACCTTTCACTTTTATTTTCCTAACTTTTTTTTTTTTGAGATTGCACATATCTTTAACTCAATACTAATTATTTTCAATTCATTTTACTTTTCATGACTCAGAATATTTTAGAAAAATAACTAGAACAACTTCAAAAATCTATCCTTGACAGGAATGTGTCAGCATCAAGACTGGATATTAGTGCCTTAAAAACGAAAGGTAATTTAATTTTATCTCATTCAACTTAAATCAATTTCCACATATGTTTAATATTATTCAGTGCAAAAAAAAAAAAAAAAAAAGATGTCTACGAAAACCCTCAACTTGGAAGATATATTGAATTTCATCAACGATATGAATAGTGCTAAACACTAATTTATTTATCTACACAATCACTGAAAAATCAAATTATTATGGCAGACCAAAGTCGGAAATATCAGTCACTAACTTTTCTAGCTTTCTTTTGTCTCATCAGAATTAACTTGTTGTGAATTAGTGGTGAATTAGGGTAAAATAAATTAGCACAAGGGTAGAAAGAGCACATTAGGGTAGCACAAGGGTAGAAAGAAACCAACAATTTAGGGAAGGCAATTTTTGTATTCTTTACATTATTCCCTCTTTTATTGCTCAGAGGTTAAAACATATTTCTGTCTATTGTTACAATGAAAAATATTGTTGTTGTTTTCTTTTAAAATTATTAAAAAATTACTAAAAATTCAATCAAAACATTTAAAGAAGGTAAGTTTTTCTTTTATGAATTGTACAGAAAAAAATTAAATAAATTAATTTTCATATTTTTTTTAAAAAAAAAGAAAAAAAAAAGACTTACGACACATCCCAAGGCACAACGGAGAAATGTGAGAATGTGACCAGCTATAGGAGCAGAACCAACTACAATCAGCCGCAGTCGACCACCCAGTTTATCTTGTATTGGTTTCAAGACAGTCCAGTCCCATACACTGTTATTACGAATTATGTCCCTGAAATAAATGCAATCATTATTTACACAGAAAATAAATAATTTCATTCTTTTAATCATTCTCGAGAACTCTGAAATTTGTAATGATTTTTTAATGTTATATAAACAACTCAAACTTAAAAAATAAATAAAGCAATAAAAAAAACATTCACTTTGTTAACATTTTTCTCCTTCATCTCATAAAAATGGCCAATCATCATGAAAAGGACCTATATTACCTTATTTTTCTCTTTTTCAACTTAGCCAAAAATACTAGAGGCAAACATTCTTTTTAATATCATGACTCTTAGATAATTTTTACTCAAGAATCAGTTGTCAAAAATTCACAGTATTTGTTGATTAGGACTGAGCGATGCAAGAAATTTTATATCATGATATATCGTCTGACAGACATCGCGATAGAGTGATGTATCAAGATATAACATATGTTTGAAAATTATTTCTTTTGAATCGAAACTACACAATCTGCAATCAATCTAAAATAAATAAATTGATAACAAAAGAAAATGTTAATTCCAAAAAAAATGCTTTTATAACATCAATAGCATTGCCTACTTTGTTCAATTAAAATAATAAAGACGGATTGACTTCAGACCAATGTGCAAGCTTAGTTTTACTTATTTACATATATAAAAAATTTTAAAAAATTAATGTAATAAACAATCAAAAGTAATTGTGCATATAAGTAAAACAACTTTTAAATTATTTGTAGGAAAAAAACATGCTTTTGAGACATGGTTAGAACTTTTTTTATTGATTTATTTAGAATAACAAAGTTGTATTGAATAATGGTGAAATTCTATATGCAATAAACGTAAAAACAAATTTAAGTTTTGTTTCATTTATTTATTATTATTATTTTATTTATTATGATTATTTTATTTATTATGATTTCATTTATTATTATTATTATTTTTTATTTATTTATTTGAAAATGAAATAGACTTAAGATTTATGTTTAAAAATTATCTTCTTCTTCTTCTTCCTTATCCCCAAAATATACTGAATACCTAATAAATTACTAAACAAACACGTATTCAAAGAAGAAAAGTTTCTAAAAATACTAAAAATCAATGGTACTATTGTTAAAATATTAAAAAAGAAACAACTTTTAAACCGTTAAAACATTACTTAACTTTTTATTTAATTAAAAAAATTTAGTCATTTTAAGTATGAGCTGAATTTTTAAAAAAATAAATAAATAACGCAAACTTTGTTTAAATTTTTTCAAAACAAAAACAATGTAAGATTTAATTAAGAATTTAAAATAATGCTAACATATATAGAATAAATGATTCTTTAAAAATAGAATAAAAAAATGGCTAGAAAAACTAACAAAATACACATAAGTGCCAAATTTTTTTTTTATAAAAAAAATAAAAAATAAATTTTTTTTTAAAAAAAAAACGCTGCTTTTAAAAAATTAAGAACAAAATAAAAAAATGGATTCAAAAGAAACGTAAACTTTTTTTAAATTTTTTATAATTAAAACAATTGAAGATTTATTGGTTTAAAAATAATCATACTTAACAAATATTAAAATAGTAAAATAATAAAAATTATTATACATAACAAGCATTAAATAGATTTTAAAAAAACTTTTTATAACAAAGTATAAGTTACCTAGATACAAAACACCGCCTTTAAATTGCATCGCTTTAAATAAAAGAAAAATTATTAAAAAAGGTAATGAAGAATACTTTATTTACTTATAATTTCTCTTCATCAATAGAGTTCAGAACAAAAATTCAAGAGAAAAAAAATTCAAATAACAGCGATTATATAGCGAACGCAAAGTCACTGTAGGCCTACTAAAACTAATCGACAAAAAACGTAAATCCTGACAAACAAACAAAAAAAAAGGATGAAATAATATACAACGATTGCTAAGTAGCAAAAGTCCCACTGAAACTAGTTTACAAGAAACGTTAAATCACAACGAAATAAAATGCACAGTGACCGCAAAATAAATCCTGCAGAAAATAATCTTCAAGGTTGTATCTCCTTTGATTCAATGTCTAAAAAAAATGTAAAGAACAATATCTTACTTGTCTAGATAGTACTGTCAAACAAAGAAATAGATAAAAGACAAAATTTTTACTTTATGCACATAAAACACTTATAACTTGAAAACTGTTAGTCATATCATCCCATAGTCTATTTCTTTCGATTCATCATTTAAAAAAAAAAAAAAAACACATATGGGATACATCTTTGCCTAGATAAGAATAATTAAATTTTTTCCAACTTTTCAATGACCGACGTAAAATTACTTCCCACTAAGAGAAGGAGGGTGCTGCTGGGATGCTTAGACTTTCACAAATTTTTGAAGTATTTTAAATATTAATTGAATCAAAATAAAATTTATACATTTAATACCCATTTTTACAAAATAGCAGCTGAAACAGATATAAAATACTTTACTAACTTTTCAATTTCAGCCTTTTTACTTTCAATGGCCATATTCAGCAACATTTTTTTAATTTTACTTGAATTTGCTTCCTCTTGAATCTAAAAATAAAACAATTCTATCAAACAAATTCTTCCACACAATAATATTCACAAAGAGTAATAAAAACATTTTTTTTTTTTACACTGTGGCTTCTTGAAGGAGGGCACTCTGAAAAAATATTCCTTTACTTTTTCTCAGATTTCATCACGATAGTTTTATCAAATCTCCCTGATTTTCAAGACTCCAGACAAAAATTTTATTATTCATTTTCTAGCAATATTATTTATGTGCAAAAAATAAACTTGATAATAAACAAAGATTTTTTTAGTTACCACAACATTTTTGTCATAACAATAACAGCATAAAAGGAGAAAGGGGCAGTTAAGAGGTACAAAAAATGACCTCATTTCTTGCATCCATTTATAACACATCAAAAATAACTGTAAGCTTCGTTAAAATGCATGAAGTAAACTAGAGAGAAAACATTTGTTTTCAGATAGAATGAAATAATGTTTTTTTAATTATAAACTCAAATTTTTTTGATATTTTGTATTGAATGTTAAATCTACTTATATCTTAAAAATAATTTTAAAAATTAATGATTTTAAAAATAAATGCATTAATGAAGCAAAAGCTCTTTTAGTAAATATCTATATATTAATATAAATTAAAACAAAACTAAGCATTTGAAAATGTGTTACAATTTTGTGGTGTATTTCAAAATGAAGACTCAAAGAAAAGAACTTTTTTTAGGCTTATTTGAAAGAAATTATCTGACAGTTTATAGATTTTTGCAGATTAAAATTCCCTGACTTTTCCCTAATCTGCTCAATTTTCCTGTTTTGTAGCCACCTTGTTCAAAGGTTGAAAGCTTATAATTTTAATTGCATGGTATTGTAAAAAACAAATAATTTATTTACAAAAACTAAAGAATAACATATATTTTTTAAACTAAATTAATGTTTAGTACATAATAGCCTACATTAATTTAATGTTTTTAATAATCTATATAAAAAATCTACATCTGACTCTGAATGTGGTAACACATAGTGATGCGAACCACCCTGGATTTTTGACAGTTTTCTTACATATTTCAAAAATCAGATGACTTCATGAGTGAGTTACCTTTAAAAAAGTATATGTATTTAAAGTTTACAAAATTGTTCTTCAGTTTGTTAAATAATTTAATCAAAAAGATATTTTTCAAAAAAATAATTAGCATTTACTGCAGATATTTTGGAATTGCAAAAAACACTGACACTAAATTAGTAAGTGTGATACTGGTTATATAAAGCATGAAAGTATGTATTTAAAGTAGTAGAAAAGAAAACTTTAGAGAAATATAGAAACCACCAATCAATTCAGAATGGAACACTAAATCATAATGAAATACTAAAATAAACAAAAAAAATCACCTTATCATACATTCTGTTCAAGAGACGAGGTACGCAAGGAATGACAGTCGGCCTGAGAGTCCTAAAATCTTCATTTAAAGTCCTAATGTCTCCCTGGTAGAAACCTACTTGCCCCCCAGTCATGTACAATCCCACCTAAAAATTTAGAAATAGAAAAAAAAATTTAACCACAAATTTATGTCTCACAAGTTTCTTCTCACAAATGAAAATTCCTAATATTATTACCTGGCAACATCTTTCAAACATATGGGCTAATGGCAAAAATGAGAGCATTGTGTCACTGCTGCCAGGAGCCGTCTCACCCTGCGAAAATACCAAGAGAAAAGTAAAAAAAAGTATCACTCATGTTTTGGAAAAACATATGTCTGTATTCAAAAAGCTTTGTCATTTACTTTATAAAAATAAAAACTAAATTACTTTTTTCTAAATCAAATATATTTTTATTAATTTAAAGATTCAGCTAACTCATACCTATTATAGTATACATTGCTGTACCAGCCCATAAGCAAAACATTAGTATGACCTTTGGTTCTAAGCAGTGCTTACATACAGAAGTTGTGAGAAATCAACAATTTAATCGCAATTACTGGTTGGATAGATTATTTAAATCAATTAATTTGTGAGTACTCTAAAACTTTTAGAATAATTCATTAGCACAAAGACAAAAACATATTAGCAATAGATTATTCATTTAAATAAATATGAGAAACAGATAACATGTAATTATTTTTTAAATAAATTATTTAGAATATAAATTAACTGCATTAGTTGAAAGACGTAACTACAAATTTGTTAGCTTCTAAAAATCTAAAATTAATTATTCATATTTTAAATGAATTGTTACGATAATTATAAAAGTGAGGTAGATACTGTTTATAATGTCTCTAATTTATACATCCTCTTGCTACAACCCAAACAATGTAATGATAAATTATTTGTTTTACATGACAAAAAAATGCTAACTATCAATTATACTTCATTACAACAGGTATACTTTATAAAATTCATAAACTATCTGTTTTGCTCATTGATTTATCATCATGGGCTTTACAGATTTATCTAAGAATTTTTCCATGGTCTTGCAGATCAATACAGAGGTTTCTGCTATTAGGCATGTTGGATACAGAAAACTGTTAAAAAGATTACTTGTTAGGCAAAAGTAATCCAAATTAAACAATAAGAGGGTCATCAAAATGGTTTGCCTGATAAGCCTTGCCTTCATCCAATGAAGATTTTGGAAGAAAAAAAAGGTCAGTAGTATACCATATCACCCAGATACACCTAATTTCATTCTTTCACATTCCTAGCTTCAGATAATAATATTTTTCTTAAATAAAATCTAAAAATGCTTTGAAAGCAATTTCATATTTCATTAAAAGAATCTGAAATTTTTAAAAAAAATTGTCGGATGTTTGAGGTTAACAAAAGTGGAATTAGAAAAAAACTGAATAGTTTATTTTAAACTCTAAAAACCAAAGCTTGCAATAGAAATAAAACCAAAAACGAAAGAGCAGAAACTTTTCCTTAAAGAAACTGCAAGAAGTGAAACTACTTTGATAACATTGGTTTATTGAAATTATATAATTATATCTACTGACATGCTACACTAGTAATTACAATTCTATCTAAAGGGCATAAAGGTGTAATTTCTATTATATTTTTGGTTTTACACAGTCAAATACTTCTCTAACAAAATTATTTTGATGTAAACTAACTGTGCTAACAGCTAAATATAGACAGTGATAGATTAATACAAAGAAATTACAAAAATTTTTTAAATATGGACATACAGGCAATGCTATACTATATTTTTAAAAAATTACAAAATGCATTAAATAACATATTTTTGTCATTGGCAAAAATTAATTTAAAAGGGCCAGAATTTGTATAATTTTTAACACTGATAAAAATCATATATTTTAGCTTAATACTAATTTAAATACTTTTTTACTCATTAAAACATTTTATACTCCAAATTAAGCAGATCTTTAACTAAGAAATAAAATTTGAAGTCATTTAATATAAAGCTTTAAAAAAAAATTAAACTACTTAATTATTAAATTAATCAAATTGTTTAGAATCATTAGTTAATATCTAATACTAAATGATACAATCCCTTAACAGTTAATAAAAAAAATTTCAGACATTGCCTACTACCTATAATAACTGCAATATTTTAGTTGCACAGAAAAAAAATCAAACAGTTTTACTTTTTCAAATGAAAAATATAGTCAATGCTTGATGTGACATACCAATTGTAACATCACAGCGCTCACATTAGCAATGATGCTTTTGTGAGTCAACATTACTCCTTTAGGACTTCCAGTAGTGCCGCTAGTATAGCAGATGCACGCTAAAGAATCAGGCTTAGGTGGCTGGAAAAACAAGAATACATATATCATGGCGCATGCATTAGTAGTTTTTAACTAATGATTTCTTTTCACTTAATGTGAAGTTAGAACTAAAATAGATATTTTTCATTTAAAGATAATAAAATAAATTGAAGATTAATTTCAAAAATCAAACTTTCATTGTCACCAAAGCCCTGTGGCCGAATTTTTTAGGGCTTACTGCGACAAACCTCTATCGCACTAATAGCTTTCTGCAAGATATTTTTTACAACAGGGTTCCCACTCTATGATGAGATTGAAATTCAAGGACTTTCCAGGACTTTTCAAGGACCTCAACAAAATTTTCAAGGACCTTAATCTAAGACCAATTTTAAAAATTATTCTCTTCTATTTTACTAGAAGCAACAATGCTTGTTGTGGCAATAATTAATTTCAAATATAATACCTAAATGCTTTGCCTATATAGAGAGAAGAGAGTATATGTATTATGGACTAAAATTTATATTTTTTTAAAAACAACCCTACTGGTTTTACATATTAATTCACAAAATCATTTTCAGCACAATCTATAACTAATGGTAATGAGGTGTTAATGGTGAAATCCTTTAATCCTGTGTATTTCCATGTGAAGGCTGCATGAAAGACAGAGCTAAATCTTAGGTATTCCATATTCCATGACTATTCCATAACCCCCTCCTCTCCTCTATTAAACATCGTTTCTGAAATTATTCATCCATAATTTACACAACCTTCTCTAAATGTTATGCAGCAACAATTCTTTCTGAAAATAAAAATTAGAAGGAACATATCCCATTTTCACCATGTTTAAAAGCATTATTCGTTATGTGTAATCCACAACTGCCAATGAATATGACCTGGTGGGAATATTTCTCTTTTAATTCACACTGAAGCTTCTAATAGAATTTCCAATTGACATAGGGTCCATCCATGGATAATTGAAGTATTTTAGAGAGCTTTTAACCATCATCCATGCATTTGTAAAAAGAGGACAAAATATTTTCTGCAGTTCCATGACCCATAAATTGGGAGGTAAGATACTTAGTGCAAACTTTATTATCAATTCCTTACCATAATGTCCATCTGCTTAGATTGTAGAGACTGATTTAACGTCTCATCAAAGAGTACAGTGTAGCAATCAACATTCTTCAGCTCATTTATAAGAATCCCTTTGAAGTATAGTGCCAATCCAAAGGAGCCCAAATAGGCTCACTTTGTGGCACTACAAAAAAATTGTCTCGCTATACAGCTATCAGCAAACATTTTGGAGAACAATTTACTAATCCCTTCACAGGAGTTACATGAATAATTACTAGTGATGCACTTCAGACTCCAGAGAATTTCAGCATCAAGCACATTCCTTTTGACCAGATAAGAAGACAATGTTACCTCGGCCACTAAAGTTTCTGTTTCACATGGGGCACACGATGTTGAAGGAGTATTTACACCAGATGAATTAGATGTTGATGTCTTTGGAAAAAGAGAACTCAGGGCATGAGACTGCTTTTTTGTTTTACCTTTCTTTCATGTGTGATTTCAGAGCAGATTCTTCCATTTTCGCGATATCGATCTCCTTCATGCATAATCGGCACTTGGCTCTGAACTTCTTTTCGGGCATCGATAAAATCCATTCTTTATAAGCTTGATTATCCATCCATTGGGGATTAAAATAGCACTTCCCAGGCATAACTAGTCTAAACTACATAACACAAATACGAAGCCGTGCCTTTGCGAATACGCTTTACAATAAAGTTTTGAAATGACGCAAACGTAAGGACAAGTGCGGATGGTAAAACGGCAAATTTATTGAAAACTACAAGGTACATATTGTTACGAAATTCGAGAGTATTCCAGTTTCGATAAGAAAAAAGAAGATCTAAGCATATGCGACAGAAGATGAAGTGGAGTCTCGCCCCGAACGCATTGATTGTCTGCTGTGCTCCGCGCGCTTGGCAGACACCAAGACGCTAGGCCCGGTTAGAAACGGTGGCGTTAAAAACCACGTGAGAGAGCTCGGGAACAAAACAGAAAGAACGAGAAAGATCCGCGGGTGTTTTATAAAAAGGGCAGCCGGCAGTATTGGACAAATTCAAGGACCTATCAGGTTTTTCAAGGACCTAAGACGTTTTTCAAGCACTTTCAAGGACCTAAATTCAGCAAAAAATAATTCAAGGACTCTCAAGGACCGTGGGAACCCTGTACAATAACAAATATACATGTCACTAATTTAAAGTAACAGAAAAGTTATGTTTACAAGGAAAAAAAACTCTTGGGATTAACTTTTTTTTAATATATGTAACATAAAAAACTTCTATTAATCTTTTTATGTTATCCAAATTAATTATTCTAATCGAAATGCTTTCTCACACATTTAGAAAGCCACATCCTGTTCTTAAATCTATTTTTGGATAAAGTATGCATAGTTATAAGAAAAGATATTTTTCCCTTTTCTCTTTGTGGGAATCGTACGAACTTTTTTAGAAACCAATTGTAATTACTAAGATTTCCCTTTTTCCCTAAAATATAACAAAATAGAAGGAAATTCATTTGCTATTTCCCTAGGACAAAAACTTAAGCACACAGTTTTGGAGTGCGAATTTGAGCTCCGCCATTGATAAGTAAATGCTTTGAATATACTATGTGAGCTTAATAAAGTATTTTTGCCTTCCAACTGCTATCCGCGTGGCCCAACAGCACTCACCATGACTGCCACGCTTTCATATATATATATATATATATATATATATATATTTTAAATGAATATGCAATAATTTTTTTATTTTAATATCATGGGTGATATTCTCACATTTTGTAGGAAGAAAACACTAATTATTTCCTTTTTCGCATTTCATAAATTATCACATCAAAAAATAATAATAATAATAATTAAAAATCGTGAAATCCGTAACACTAAGTACCAAAGAAAAAGAAAAAAAGATTGACAAAATCACACGAATCATACTTATCAAAAAGGGAGGGGGTACTAAATGTGTGCTTTATTCGAGATTCAGTTGTTATAATAAATAATGTATTAAAAATATGGAATTTTAAAAATTGTGTGGAAATAAATGCCCCTCCCAAAAAAAGCGATAGAATCATTGCTTTAAAAATTTAATATTCATATGCGCAATTCGAACTTCTTATATTGTCAGAAATATATCGGATATTTAAAAAAAATGTGGAAATCAATGTCAAAAACTTCCGAAACTACAATGGAAACACTACATGGATTTTTGATAGTATCGGCATAAAGTGAGAGGATCAAAAAGTCATTATTTAAATGTGCAATTTAAATTTTGTGTAGAAATATTAACTGAGAAATAACCGGAATTTTATAAATTCCGTTGAATTCGGTAGCCCTCGCAATAGAAAATCGAAAAAAACGATGAAATTGTCACATTAAAAGTAAATAATTTATGAGTTCCACGTATTGTTCAATTGTATAAAAAACTAAGATTTGTTTTTTTTTTTAAAAATAAGAAAATTTGTCATAAACTGTCGAAAGAATGATTGTAATACTGCATGGATTAACAAGAATATTGGTGCAAAACGAGTGCATCAAATAATTTCTTGAATCCGTGTCCCGTAATTATGTCGGTATATTTCATAGATTCAAGATAAATTAAATCTATTATATTAACTAAGCAATGAAGGACATCAGGATTTCGAAAGAAAAAAAAGCAAAAATTTGTAGCAACAATTGCTAAAAAAAATTATCAAAACACTACAGATATTTATGATAGAATTTGCACCAGTTGTCAGTGAAAACTCAAATGCAGGATTTAAAACTTTCATGTGCATAATTTTTTTAAAAAATATTAGATCGATTTTAGTTCAACCATATTTAAAAAAAGTTGGACATTATTTTGCTACAAATCTAAATTTGTAACAAAATAACCCACTCACAGTCAAATTTCGTTAAAATGTGAGGTATGGTACAAAAAAATATATAAGTGAAAGAACACAATATCTAGAATGTAACTGTCTTTTCACCTTTCGCGATTTTGGTCTTTTCTCCTCAGATTTTCTAATTGAAATTCTAGCTGAAACCAGTCACTATCGAATTTTTTTATTCTTAAATAAGAATCGAAAAGTAAAGAGCATTTCTTTTCTCACTCATGCGCATGAAAAGAATATTTTGAAAAATGAAGTATAAGTTTTGTTATATATTAAACTCTGTTATATAATAATTCAAGAGAAAATAATCTCTGTAGAAAAGAAAACCAAAATTATTTCACTTCATTATCGTTCATTTTCATTATTCCCAAATACGAATAGAAAAATCATGAGCATTTTCTTCACATCTGATGAGCGAGAAAAGCATCTTTTGAATATAATTATGAAGAAAATAAAATCTATCAAACATTTCTGCAGAAAAATTTTTTTTTACTTCATTATTCTTTATTTTTCATTCTTCTCAAATAAGAACAAAAAAAAATCAGGAATATTTCTTTCCCCTTCAATGTGCGAAAAAGGCATCTATTAAGAATAATTCTAAATATAAAAAAAATTCAAGAATTTCTGCACAAAAAAAAAACTTTTTTTTACTCTCTAAAGGAAAATTCTTTCTGCAAGAACTCAGTAGCGTTCTATGACAATGTTGCCGCGATTCTGCCACGGAACACCCAAATATTCAGAATTTGTCAACTCTTTCCCATTCCAAGTAGTTATGGTCAACATAATTTGAAACATTAACTTCAATTATAAAAAATCTCTGAACAACTACTCAAGTTGCTAATAATTCATCCTAAAAATTCCAAATAGAAAAGCCAAAAAAAATTTTTAAAAAATACCCACAAAAAATGAAACCTAAAAATTTAAAACAAAATAATTCCATCTGAAAATTTAAGAACAGTTTAAAAGAATTAAAAAGTTTCTCAGACATTTTATTAAAGTCTGATTTTTTTTTCCTTAATACTCTTTATTCTCAGTAACCTAAATTTTAACTTTATTTCTCAGATACCACTCTTAAGAAGTATTAATAAACATAATTAAATTTAAAAAACTAGATAAAGTTCTTTAATATTGAGTGTACCTTTAGTAAATCTATGAGTAATCAATGTAGTTGAAAAAATTTTGAACATCTCAATGACACAATGACACAATATCACCAAAAAACATTTCTAAAAAAAAAAGAAAAAAGAAAAGGGAAGAAAAACACTTACAATCACATTTTGAGAATGAGCTTCCCCCAGTTTCTAAAAGAAAAAAAATGCAACAGTTCAAACAAAATTAACAAGCAATAGAAACAAGCAATGAAAAGAATTAAAAGCTTAATATGATACTACATTGTGAAGTAAAAACACAAATAAAATTATTTTAGAATGGAAGCAGAAATAGTCACAAAGGAAATCATTAAAATAAAATGCATCCATGTTGATAACACCAAACATCTTTGGAGAGCATTAAATAAGGATAAATATACCTCATCGAATATGAAATTCATTTGGTTGTATGAAATTTTAACATGCAATGTCCAAAATGAGAGCCACCACACAGGAATGTGAAGTTTTTCACATACATCATTAAGACCATTGTTACAGTTTAAATGCAGACAATTCATTTTTAAATGTTTAAAAATGAGCATAATTTTCTAGTTTAAAACTTAAATAAAATCAAAATAGTTTTCAACAGTTTATTAAACAATTCTTCATAATTATTAGGTTGGCATACATTAAATGTGTGTTCATAATTTTCTACATAAAAAGAAATCCATAGAATAAACAAAGATGCTGAATGTAATCACTGATGATAAAAATATGTATTTTCTTTTTCTACTACCAGCTAGTAATAGGTGAGAAGAAAGCAGGATTCACAAGTTTTTGACAATTAAGAGTTTTATCTGGTTATAATCGTTATGTCAGAAAAAAACCTTTTTGACTTAGTTTTTCACAATTCTTAAAATTATAAAATTTCGACATAGGGAAAAAAATTACTAATTATTATAAATCATTTTGACATTGAACATATTTTTAGTTTCAACAATTACTCTCAAAAAGTCAAAGGGTGTAGAAATTCATAATCTATTATGAATATTAAATTAGAGATGTACAACCAGGGTTTAAGCTGAGTCTAAAAATTCATTAGCAAAAAAGCTAAAATCTGAAAAAAAGTTTTAACAAAATGCTAAAATGCCATTAGGCTTATAAAATTACTTTATATCAAACAAGTACTGTAAGTTATCTGACAAAGAATAGCTTAATGTACAAGAATATCAAAAAGAATACCTATAACAAAAAAAAAACACATTTATTATTTATCAAAACATTTTGGTTTATAATTAACAATCTTCCTTTCTTTCATGTTTGCCCATTTTACAAATGCTTCTTGAAAGTTAAATGCACTTTCAGGGCCCTCAATATTAATCATTAACAAATTGTTTACATGGTTGATTAACAACCTGTTTCGAATATTAGTTTTAATCAAATTAAGGCAGCTAAAGCCCCTTTCATAGTCAACAGTGTGCGTTGGTATTGTTGCACAATACTCTATAACAGAAGTTATTAATGGGTACTGTTCAGACACATCATTGGTATATAAAAATAAAAGTAATTCATTAAATGACATGTTTTTACATCGTTGCATTAAGATGTGTTTAAATAATCCCCATTCACAAAGTAGTTCAGTTTCTGTAAACTGAAAATCTTTTCTGGGAGATTCCGAAAACTAATGCTGTAATTCTTCCGAACTATGGGGCATCCTGCTAGGTATAAGCGTCATGGTTCTTCTTGCGAAAGATATTTAGATATTTAGATATTTTCTCCTTCTTGTTTGATCAAGTTTTTTTCATGGATGTTAGCGTCATGGTTTTTCGCGGAAGCTTTTTTTTAATGGAATTTAGTAAAATCCTTTAGCAAAAATGCGAAAATGCTTTGTTGAATTTTAGCATTTTTGAGGGGTCTTTTCGCATTTTGCGAAAAAAGCTACCGTAGCGGAAACCCTGTGTACAACCTGCAGGTCACATGCTGTTTGACTATTTAGTTGAATCTTCTCTTGTATTAAGCTTTTTCTTAACTCATCATAATGAAAAATTAAAGTTCAAGGTTATGTTATCTTTCTACAGAAGTACCATACCTTTTGTTTAACTCATTAAGTATTAATTAAGGAATCTGATGCATGCAATTAAACTTATTACTGTTTCTTTATTTTTATGATATGCAGAAGGACCAGGATATTATGAATCGGTTCATGACACATCTCCATTATGCATAAATACCTCGGATGTTATAATATCATTGCTAGTGTGCATATTAATGTTTACTTTTTCCAAGATGTTGCAAAGTTTCCTCAGGAACTCTGTACTTCTGCAAGTATTTGTTTTTTCACCTTCACAGTCATTTATAAATAGTCAGCTTTATATTTAGTTCAAAATAAATGATTTTATTTTATAACTGTCATTGTACAGCCGACCCAATTTTTTGGAGTTGACAACTAATAATGTTCAACTTCAGAGAATTGTAATTTTAAACCCAATCCAGAAGACAAGGGAACTCCTGGATAAAATATTGGGAGAAATTTGCCTTCGTGGAGGACTTTTTGATGGAACTAACCCGCATTTGCGGTACATGGAGAGGAAAACCTCCCATGATTAGCCTAACGGCAAAGGGATTCTAACCCATGATTTGTCTACCACTGAGTAGGCCGTTTTATTGCTTCTTCATCACTGTACTTAAATAACTCTGCATATATTCCGAGACACAAGAACTTCTGAACTTCGGGAGAGAATTTTTTTTTTTTTTGATAAATAAAATATTAAATTTTTAATCAAATTTGAGTCATCACTTTGTGATGCACTCTAAGTCCAATATTGAGCTTTAAAAAAAACATTTTTAGTACAATACTATGCGTATTAAAAATATTGGGTAAAATAATTGAATAGACAAATTTCGAATTTGAGTTAACACTTTTCAACTTGATGATATTTTTACTCATTTCATCAAAAATCCAAGTGACGTTTCGATAAAAAAAAAATTCTTTTGGTATAACTTTTCTACGCTTTTGAAAATCCCATACTTTTACTAGAAGATTGTTACGACACACGAGTTTCAAAACACGAATTTTAAGTCGTCACTTTTTGACATGCTTTGTTTTTGCCAATTTAATCGTAAGTCCATGTAATTTTTCTATAATTTTTTCAACAGTTCCTTTAACTTCTGATTTTTATTACATCATGCGAATTTCAAATCACGCATTTTAATAATTACATATTGACGTGCTTTATTAAAGCTGATTTCATCGTACTTTTTATCTTCTTTTATTTTGCAATTATTGGGATGCTTTTCCATGTGATTCTAATGATCTTGTAATTTTAATTACGATGTTATTACAGCGCATGATGCTTCTAATTGGAAATTTAAGTAATCACTTTTGATACAATTTATTTGTGTATATTTCATTGAAAATACAAGTTATTTTTCTGCTGTGTTTTCGGCAGTTAGCACAATGCATTTGCATGTAGTGCATAACCCGATATTTAATACAATATTTTAGTATCAAGAGAATTCGAAAAGTGGAGGAAATCATGAATTTTTAAGCCGTTTATAATTTTGTTAATTTTTTGTAGTTTAATTCCAGTTTTAGGAAAAACTCAAACGAAAACTTTTTCGATTAATAATTAAAAGTATCAGATAATTTTAAATAAAAATATTTAGATACGCCATTTTTTAATCTTTGTTTCGTTAATAATTGAAAATTAAAATATTAAAACAATCATTCAAAAAAAAAAAAACACTAAACAATCATCTTATTCATTATGTGTAAAACCAATTTTTCTTTTACTCTTTAAATTAATGTTCCTTTCCCAGGAGCATGCAATAACAGAACACTAGTTTTGAAGCCCTCTGTACTCCCAATTTTTTTCTCCAGTTTTGAATGAGTAAGTCAAAAGTTCGAAAATATTCTTTTCATTCTATGAGAATCTAGATGTGCAAAAACTATTTTAACATACGGAAATTAACATGTTTCAAGAAATTTATTCTATCTGTACTATATAAACTTTAAACAAAACAACTTTATTATACACTTGAACTAATTTCATTAATTAACTTTTTTAAACATAACTTTATTAAACACATGAATTAATTGGTAGGAAAAAAAGTTAACTGATTTAAACTAATATTGATATTTTAATTATAATTTGCTTCTTCATCAAAGAATATTTTGTAATCATGATTTTTAATAATGTTTATGTAATGCATGGAGCAAAAAAAAAATAATAGAAAAAACATTTGATCTAATGATCGGATTTTCATGTACTAGGACTGTTCACGGTGATGACCATAAATATGATATAAATGTAGATGGTACAAAATCACTGAATAAACATACCTATTTTTCTTTTAATGGATTATAACTCTTGATCCCAAGCCACTATCTTGGAAATATGGTCTAAATAATTATTATATCAGAAGAGCAATCAAAAGTATAGACCATTTAATGAAAATTTTATTTTTTCGTATTTCGCCATATCTCGTAAACTTTTTAAGTAAATTGAAAACATTTTGCACAGAATTACAATTCAATTGTCCAAAAATAATTTCATGCAAAAAATAATTTTTAATAATCATTCATTACTTTTTATTATTTTATTTAATAACAGTTGAAAAAAGTTTCAATATTAAAGCATCCAAATTTTTACATCATTTTACATCATTGAATGAAATTGGTCGAATAGTTTCTGAGAAATCAAATTTTAAATATCTTACTTTTTAAAAAATTTATTATAGTAATAATTATTATGTAAGTATTGTTCATGATTAAAATAGTTATGTTTCTATCAGGTTTCGACACTTTTCAACAGATTTTTGATGCCAAAAACCCAACCCAGAAAGAAAAGAGTTAAAAACAAATTATCAAAAATAACTGCAATTGGTATATACGCTAGAAGCAAGACAGTATATATTATGGGTGGACACAGATTTAAGGCCTATGTTAAAAAAAAGTTTTTCTGAATAATCAAAGCGAGCTCATATATAAGAAAAGATCGATAAATAAGAACAAACCTCTATATCTTTGTAAGAAACAAGGTCAATGTCCCATTCCTTTGCTTTTTTCTTTGCAGCTTCAGAAATTGGATCTATCTGTACAATCAGCTTTAGTGTTGGCATTTCGCTTTTGTCATTCAATAATGCCAATGATTTCTCTTCTTTATCACAGACAACAGCTGATATTTCAGCTGCAAAATAAAATTTCAAATTTTGATAATAACTATTTTTTACAAATTACTGGTATTCAGATATTTTTTGAAACGTTGAATAATTTCTACATTAAAGAAAACCAATGATTTGAAAAATCAATTAAAAGGAAAACATTTTGCTGCTTACTCTTTAAGAAACAGATTTTTTTTCCACCCGATTTCAAAATTAATTAAAGTTCTCAACAAATATCCCTGCTACGAGAAAAAATAACATATTAAAGAATGTTTTCTGTTGTTCCCAGAGGTTGTTGTGGTGTTATTTTGAAATTTTTTTTCATTCTTTCTCAGTTTGTTGCTTTGCCAGTGTTCTTTTAAACTAAATTGTAACTGGGTGAGAAGAAATTTTCTAGTTTCCTAAGAAGAATGTAACAAACTGAATACAGTCAACCCTGCTAAAAGGAATACCGTAGGTTCTAAAGAACTCTATTCAATTATGTGGGTCATTCAATTAAAAGGGGAGTGCATCAGTCAATCCTAAAGGCAAAATTTTACTTTTTATGATATCTAATGCATAGTATAACATTTTGATAAAATAAACTCAATTTTATGATCAATAAACAACTATAATTTAAGCTGTCAGTGTTAATATCAAAATATAAATGTCATTTAAAATTATATAAAAATAAATCAATGCTAATGAAAAGTATAATATAGGTACTATAATAAAAATTTATCCCTTCCAAAAAAATTTGTAATTAGACTTTTTGATACCAGTTTAATTGCTTAACCAGTTTAATTACATAGATTTCTTTTTCTAGTAAGACTTTCACATCTTGTGTATTCCTTTCTAGTGCTTTCATGAATTTTTTTTTTTTTTTTTTAACCTTCAAATTCCAGAAATTCCAAATTTATTGCTTCCAATACTTTTTCTCGATAAACATTAATCATTCCTATTCGCATTCATCCTGCAACCAACTCAGAGTTAATCAGGGTGCATAGTCAAATTTTTCAACAAAAAATAAGCACTTTTCAAGCACTCAAAAAATATTTTTAAGCACTTTAAAAAAATATAATTAGACAGGGCTGTCAAGTTTTTGACAATTGATGGTTTTGTCTAGTTTTATTTACATTATTCATTTAGTCCAATGTATAATTGCCAGCAAGATCTGATTAATTATTAAACTATACCAACAACACCTGTTAAGAGCAAATAATGAACCACCTATTGTTTTTTTTTCCTTTTTAACTGAAAAACAAAAATTCCATACTAACTGGTGATATAAATAACTTTTTCACTTCTGTACCTCTTCTTTATGCAATCAAGCATGGACTGAAAACAACAAATAACGGTTTAAATGAGGAAATTTAACATTAATTTTATATTAAATGATTTGGTTCCATGAAATTATGTTTGTAGAAATGAGTTATTTGATTTACAATTAAGTGGGGATGACTGTATTTCACTTCCATTTCACTTCAATCAAATCTTTGGTTCTTTCTGGGACATCCTATAAATGTTTATATGAATTTCAATGGCCTAATATGTAGCAGCAATTTAAAAATAATTTAATGGGCAAAATCTGACGATACTCAAGTCTTCATAAATACTTTATAAAATAGTGATTCCTTTCAAGATTCATCTTAAAAACAAAATAAGATAAAAAAGGAACTAACCTTCATTTACAACTAAAGTAAAAGCTTTGGGACCCAGAGTATCATAGATAGGAACAATCGCCATAGAGCGAGCATAAGCAGCATGCTCAGTCAACACACACTGAAATCAAAATATTTCAAACAGTTCTCACAAACTAATTAAGACAGAAAAATGTCATTTAAGAAAATGAAAAAAAAAAAACTTACCTCTACATTATTAGTAGAGTATATACCAACGAAACTACCAGGTTTCAACTTATATTGAAGTAAACCAGCACCAAAATTTTTAGCCCGTTCAATAACCTAAAATTACCATAAAAAATGAATTATTTTCAAAACAAATTTATTGGTGACAGCAAAATAACTTTCAGAGATAAATCAAACGAATAAAATGCAATGATTTAAAGCATCTCATTATTTTAAACAAACATTTTGTAACATCTATAAATACTAAACAAATAAAAATATTACAAATGCCCCCTATGTACATAGCTCCACAAAACTGAGATTCTGCACTATGAATGAATTAACAACACGTTTCCCACGACTGCAAAAAGACAGTCATTTATTAAAAGAGTCATAAGTTTTCAATTTCTATATCTTTCTTTAATCAACAGAAATGAGATTGCCAAATAAATAATTTGCTTGTGACATATTAGTTTTAAAATTAAAAGGATACTTTTAAATAAACCATTTAACAGAAAAGCAAATACAAGGAATAATTATGATTTTTTAAAGCATAATTAAGTGATATTAAGGCCAAATACTGCCCATAAAATGTTAAAAAAATATTTTGAAGTCATTTTTATAATAAATTTTTATTATCATTATCAAACCACTCATTGAATAGAGTCAGTAAATGATTTGAATCACTAATCAGTATATGATTGGAATAAGTGATTCAAATCAGTACATGATTTGAATCAGTAATTCGAATAAATAAGTGCTTTGAATCACCAAGGTGAACAGATTCTATCGATTTGAATCACTTAGATGATTCGTTGCCCAACTCAAGAATAAAGGGATAGGAACTGACTTGAAAATTAGGACAACTTTTTTATAAATGTAGAAAGAGATGACAAAATTGCTTTGTAATTTGTCAACTGTTGAAAATATTGATATATCCATGATTACTACAACTAATAATGCTTAATATATTTACAGGAAAAATCCATTTGCCTATTTTAAGATAAAGTAGACAATAAGATAATATATGAAACACACATTTTCCTTTAAATACTAAAAACCAATTTTTATATAAAATGCACTATTCTAAATTTTTAGGTCAAAAATAAATATCCCTGCCCCCCCCCGAGTCTATTTAATAAGTCAAAAATAAAAAGGAAATTCATGAATGCAAAAATCTTTTGAAGCTAACATTTACTTGAATCATTACATTATTAAATTATATGTAAAAAAAAAAATTACAATTTTTTTTCAGGAAAGAAAAAATAATAATTCGAAGAGAACTTACATCTTTATAGTGGATCCATGAATACTCCTCACTTCCTTTCTCCCTCCACCCCAGGCACGGTCCATTGCCTGAAACATAGAAATAGTGGGCATTTAATCATAATAATCTAATTTAAATTGCACTCATCTATTAGTTTCACAAAATATCTTCACAAAAACAGATTTAACATTCAAACCAATGCATTTAGTCTTACTTAGTTTCTTCCAGTGTACAAAATTCCAACTGTACAAATTCTGTACAAAATTCCAACCCTGTTCAGGTGTGAGGTCAAAAGTTTAAGTTTCTTAATTTAATTTTTCTTTTTCAATATTCTGCTGTATCTCAGAAAATATATAGAATGAAAGATTTTTGCACACATTTGTAAAACTCCTGTAAAACTCATAACTTGTAAAGCTCCAAAGATATTCCAATGCAAAACGCTATTTTTACCAGATTTTTATTAATACTTAAAATTGCAAGATAAATAAATTTTTGCTTAATTTTATAGTATGCAATTCTATATGACAAAATAAAAAGAACAATAGTTTCTAAGTAATAAACCTTTAAAAATGTCCATTTGAAATTTTCGGCCTATTTCATTCAAATTTCAGATTTTTCTATTAAAAATTTCAATAAATTAATGACACAAATTTTTAGATTATTTTAATTAATAAATCATTTAAAATAATCAAAAAATTTGAGTTTCTTATGTTCAACATTTGTTGACCATCATAGTAATAATTTTTGTACAATAGTAAATTTAGACAATAAATAATTTTTGAAAATAATTTTCTTGCAAGGAATTTTAATTGATTAAATGAGTTTCATAACTATGTGCCAAAAATTTTTTGACTTACTTAAATAGTTCCAGAGTGATATGGTGAAATACACAAAGAATTAAAAGGTTTCAACTACTCTTTAGATCAGATCTCATATTTCCCGAATTGTGAGTGTCAAAAATTTAATATGTTGAAGAAGAGAATATATGTACAGAAATATATGTTAGAAATATATGAAGAGAATATATGTTAGAGAATATACGTATGTAAATATTGCACTTATAATCTATTGGGTGAGCGAATTAATGAACAAACAATCCGTCAGAACATTAATACTTGATCACTAAAAACTCGAATAATTATATTCTCACAATTATTCGGATGTTAACTATTTAATAACTGATTAAAAATTCTATTCTGGGATGAGATTGGCCAAAAGACAAAAAAGCTGAATTTTTACACATGTAAATCTAACGAGTGCGCAATAATTTAATAATAAATTCCAAACGATTTAAGATAATAAACAACTATGCGTTGATATAAAATGAATTGTTTACTGACTTATTAATATATGAATAATTACAGACACTAACATTTAGTAACAGGTAAAAAAATAAAGCTAGAAATTATATTTTTCTTCAGTCACAAAGGAGATAATTATTACTTCAGAATATGCCCAGTTTAGCACATTAAACTACTGAGAACATACATTAACATTCCATTTTCTTTAATAAATACTATTACGTGATTTATAGCAAAAATATCAGTAACATATTCTAATCCAGTTTCACTGATGTTGAGTAACTAATTCAAGAAAAAAACTTACTTCATACAAGAATTGCAATAAAGGATTTTAAAATCGTGTGAATACAAACTGCATTCTTGGATTTTAAAATCGCCTGAATATGAATCCCGATATTGGATTTTGAATTCACGTGCATATGAAACTCAATATAAGGTTTTAAAAAAGTGAAAATACAAATCATGATTCGTAATTTTTAGATCTCGGAAATACGAATCACGATGCATAATTTCTTAATCGAGTGAATAAGAATCCAAAGCCTAATTTTTAAATCAAGTGTAAATACGAAAATCGATGTTTGATATTAGAACCGCATAAATGAATCACAATATTGGATTTTAAACTCAAGTGAATACGAATCGCTACATAGGATTTTAAAAACACTTAAATACAGCTCATGATATTGGATTTTTAAACCTCGCAAGTAAAAATTGCATTGTACGATATTGAAATCGAAGGAATACATGGTTCCCACTCAATTTTCAAAAAAGAGTTCAAGGACTTTTCAATGACTTTCAAGGACCTAAATTCTAATTATTCAAGAACTCATTCAGTATTACAGTTAAGATAAAGTGCATGTCAACCAGATTTTACAATGACGTCGAAGCACAAATTGCATATTCTCAAAAAACAATGTTTATTTAATAAAACAAAAATAATTACTTTCATTTATCAGTTAATAATCCAAATGGTTAATAGTTATATTGCTACTTCAAATCACATTTAAAAAAAAACAATTGACATAAATTGGCCAACAATAAAAAAAAACTCCAATTGACATAGGATACTAGCCAACATTTAAAACCTAGCATCAGTGAAACTTTTCATGAAAAACTTCACTAAATTAGAATTCATGAAAAATAATATTACTTTAAACAAGCACAGTAAATAATTGATAAAGTTTACGTATTTGCACAGCTATTCAAATATAAATACTTTGTTAAATCAAATTTAAGGTTACAGGAAATTATATAAGCAGACAAAATATCAAAATATATCCCTTTAGCATATCTGTTTCAATTTTAATAACACATTATTGATTTTGTTACTTCAGAATACCAGTAATGTATTTGGAGAATAATAAAATCTATTGTAGGACAATATTTTATAGATAACTAAAACTTACCAAGCTTTATTTTCTTTAAAATAGATTCATAAAATGTGAAGTGTGATTTCAAAAATTGTGTGACCATGCATAATTTTAAAAAATTGCATTTATGCGAATCTAGATATACTAATTGTAAATCAAAATTGGAGAAGTAAGTATAGGTAAAGTAAGTAATGAAAGGTGAAGTAAGTATCAAAGATTGCGTAAATCACAATGTAGGATTTGTAAATCGAAATTGAATGTGGTGTATGCTTCTCAAATCGGCACAATATGAATAGCAAATGATACAATATGCACGAACTAACAGAACGTAAATCACAATATGTGATACACAAATTACTTTAATGTGAATTCTGATGAGTGATTAGGTAATAATTTCCATGTGAATAGTGATAATTATAAGGCAAATTTAGAACAGCTATATGTGATTCATAAATCATTTTGATAAAAATTGTAAGTGGTAATTCTTAAATCTCTCCTATGTAAATCGCGATGCGCAAATTCCTTCTAATACCATTGCCAATGCGCAATTTGCAAGCTACTTGAATGAGAGATGTGATGCATGATTCTGAAATTACTTAAATATGTATCACAAAATATGATTCAGAAATAACTTTAGTTGAAATCATGTGTAATTGATAAATCACATGATGTGTGATATATAAAATACCTTAATGCAAATCCCAATGAGTAATTTGCAAATCGCTTTAAAGCATCATTTGATGTGCGATTCATTAATCACTTTCATCTGAATCGTAATTAGTAAAATATTTTATATGAATTCTGATCCATAAATCAAGAATCAGTTTAATGTGAATCACAATGTTTATTCATAATCCATGAAATCTAGAACTTAATTTTATTTATTAAGTGTAAAAACTAAATGTAAAAATCTGATAATAAATTATAATAAACTAACGACACTTCTTATAAAAATTAAAATAACAAATAGCATAACAATTTTAACCAGTCATAATAATGAAGTCAACGTATTTCTAAATCGACGAAACATATTTCTAAATCAACGAAAAACTATACATCATTCAGAAACTGTGACTACAAAAACTAAAATTTGCTAGAAATTTCAGCTTTCAAAACATTAGAGATGAACAATAATCTAGTGTGAAAAATCTAGAAGGGAAATATTTTGCATCTTTTTCACCCCTTTTCACTTCAAGCAATATAAATTGCATCTATCAGAATTTCTATAATTTCTGCCGAAATTTATTTATCATTTTTTTACTGCTTTCTGTAAAAAATATTAATATTATTTTAATTCCAAAAAAATTAAGTACTTTTCAAGTACCCTATGGCAGAATTCAAGGACTTTTCAGGGGCCCAGATTTTTTTCAACAAAATTCAAGAGCTATCAAGGTTTTTCAAGTACCGTGGGAACCCTGGAATAAGAATCGCATTGTGCAACTTTTAAATCAGGTAAAGAGGAAAATTGATGTTTGATATTAAAATGCAGCGAGGTCTGAATTGCGAAAATATGAGCTATAAGGTGGCGGGTAAAACTGCAGCAAATCTAAAAAGTGGAGAAAATAGCTAAAATAATTAAAAATCCAGAAGAGTTGGCATCTACGTAGTTTGAATTTTCTGTTTATTTTTGAAAATTGGAATTAAATATAATTATTTTATTTCAACAGCTGAATATTCAGAAAAAATGGAATATTTATTAAAAAAAACTGAAACTTTTAGAGAATCGGAGTTTTTGATAAAAAGGCTGAAATTCGAGAGACAAAAGCAAAGAAAACGAAAATCAGCCAAAAAGTGGAAAAATCTCATCCCTGTCAATCGAAGAAAAAAAATTTAATTACTGAACATTTGTATGAAAAATAAAGTACTATCTATTTCTAAAAAAACTAAGGTTCCTTATTTAATGAGCAGTTTTCAACTTAACCAAAAAATTGCAGCAATTACAAAAATACTCAAAATCAAAAATACTAAGAAAATTTTTTTTAAAAATCACAAAAGAACATATTAACTGAAATACTTTTAAAAAGTCGTGAAAATTGAGTGAACATAAGTTGTTAACCAAGACAGAGAAGGAGGGTAACATAAAAAAATTTCATTCATTTCACTTAAAAATAAATTATTATACACAGCTAAATCCCATGCTTAACTTTTACATAACTTATTTTAGATCGAAATACAGTACACTTTCTGAATTCCAATTCATAAGGGATAGATTGGTTGTTTTTAAATGACAGTTGAAAAATGCTAATTATTAAACCATAATGTATTCCATTTTCTATTGTATACTTCATATTTTAATGATGTAATAATACAAGATTATTTTATGACCGCTAAATTCACAATTTAATTTTTAATTTAAAAATGACATGCCTTAGGTCTTTCTGCATATAAATTTTGAACTATTTATAAAATTTCTAAAGC